TTGGAGCAAGACCCACCCCTCACCCACCCTCCTTTTAAAACTAGGTAAGTCTGATTAATTACTTTGTATCATCATTAATTATTCTGTAACATCATTTGGTCTCAAAATCTGTCAGAAAGAACTTTCTGAAATTGTTACTTTTAAAAATTTAATTCATTTATCATACTTGGCTTTATTTAGCTGGGTTTAGGAAAATTTCCTTCTGTGTATTTGTTGCTGGGTTTCTGAATTTTTTTTCTGTGTGTTATCGTTCATCAAAGTGTGGAGGAAAAATGATCTTCTCTATAGGAAAGAGCATGACTATTCAAGGTGCTTCTTTTGTAGAAATAAGTTCATTGCAGTAGTAGTACATACTTCCCAGTATTTTCTACTGTGAAGAAAACTTTCAAAGCACAATTTGTTGTCATCTTTCTGAATCATTGTTGGAAGAGCAGTTCTGACTGTTAGCTCTGGTGGTTTGGGAAGCTACCATCTGGTGTGAGGTTTTAATCCTTGGAGCAGTGTTGGCGGAACAGAAGGTGTGTGTGTTTACACCTCGGCCTCGTTCATTCATTTGGAACTGAACTGCACTATCAGCTTAAACTGAGCCACTGGACTTCGTGCAAAAGTAGCTGGGGTGCATTATGTTTGTTGACTTTCCTGTCCCTGACTGTCAGCCTCTCTCTACTGGTTACTGCCCTCCCAGTAACTTTAAACTGATAAAGCAAATGCTAAACCCTCTTTCATCAGTATTCTGAGATGGCATGCAGCTTTAGGATTGTCTGCTGCTAACTTCAGAGAATAAACTTAACATGATTGTAGACTGTACAACTGTCTGTATGTTCTGACTAATGCAATCAAGAATAAATTCTTACATTCTGAACTTTCAGCTTTTCATCAGAAAGGACGAGCAAAAAAAAGAGACTTATTTATAAGTTTAGTACTATAGGTGTGTTCTTAGATTTTGTATATGTCTAATAGGGAACACTGTCATTTGTTCCTTACCTTTTGTAGGAAAAAGGGGAATTCGAGTGTATAACTCAGTAGTGAGTAAACAAGGAGTAAGTCCTAGATAGGACTAAAGCTAACAACAAAAGGGAAATGACATAACCATCTACTGACTGGAGGTCACTGGAAAGTCCAGAATGCACGTATATCTTTTTTTGTTACTAAAGAATAAAAAAAACATTCAGATGTTCTACTCCTTCCCTTTCCCAAATAACCTTAATGCATGACTCTTTCAGGGAGGTTTTTATTCTTTTTACTGCTTTTCCTCAGAAGTGCTTAGCTGAAGTATTAGATCATAGGCTTTTATAATGTAAAAATAGAAAGGAACTTTTTCCCTCCAAGTAGTTTACTACTTAAGATGGTATAAATCTTGATAATCTTCATGAGACTCACAGTTACATTTTTAAGCTTTGTCATGAACTTCACTCAAGTTGTTTAATTTGAAAATGACTTGATCGTGATTTTTGGTGCTTAGTTTGTCTCTGGCATTAAACGCTATTTTTGATCAAAGACTGATTATGAAATATGCTTTTGTTTTCTAAATAGTATGTGACTAGAATAGGGGAAGAAATGAACAGTCTATTCACTCTTAGGTTTTCATTTTTAATACACAGTTTTTCCATGAATGATCTAGAGCACTGCTACTAATTTGTCACGTGGCAAGTCCTCTAGCATGGACATCAAGAGGTTGTCTTAGCAGAAGACCTGAGCGGTTTGTAGCCATGTTCTTGTAACAGTACTTGTGTGAGCTAAGGAGTGTAGAACTGCATTCTTCTGGTTGAGGCATTGGCTTCCTGAATGTTTAACTTGTTTGTGTTTTACTACTAAACTGAAACTAATGTGCCTTTGTTTTGACTGAAATGGGATAGAGGGCATTCAAGTGATAATAGAGATGGCAAGTTGGAGCAGGCTGTAGTGAAAGGCTGGAATTAGGGGGTCTGGGTTGGTCATTTTTTCAGCTACTATAGTTGTGTATGGAAAAAGGTATGTCTGTGCACTGGATGTGGTGGTTTAAGCTGATTTTAAAGGCAAGCTTAGAGTACACTTAAGGACACTAAAGGTCTCGCAACTCAAACATAATTGCAGGAATGTGTATGGTATGGTATGCCTTTAAGTGTCTGATCTGAATGAGATACTCCTTGCAGTCATCTAATGTTTATAATATTTCCTTTGTCTTTCTGATTAAAATTTAGGAAGTAGGAATTCTCTTAAGCTGCCTTTATCCACATAGGGCAAGAACAAATATTTTGTACATCAGTATGTTGCTCTACTTGCATTATCATAATTTTCTCTGGCTTTACAAATGTTACATTTTTGCTGGTTTTGTTATTAAAATATTGCTACGAGAAACTTTTCCTAGTTCACGGTGTGCCTGTCAGTCCCTACGTTGCTGCAGAAAGAAGTGATGATACGGTAGTGTTTGTAGCTTGCATTTGTCTTGATAATTAATATAGTAGAACCATCTTATATTGGAGTTCCTGTGTTATTCTCCCATAAGTAAGCACAAAAAATAAATAGACTAAACCACAAAAAATTGTCAAAGTAGCGTATCTTGTGATGCCTCCTTTCTGCAAATGTGTTAGAAGTAGTGGTGAGGCTTTGTCATCTTCAGAAAGTCCAGCAATAGTAAGTATGGAGTGGGAGGGAGAGGGGCTTCTGGTAGACGAGATCTTTGCTCCCGATGTGACTGACAGTCATTCTCTGCTGTTTTCTCCAATGGTGGTGTAACTGCAGAGCTGATGATTACTCAGGATATGCTGTACATGGGGAACACAATTTTATGTCCTTTCATTGCCTTTGAAGAGTTCTGTGATAGTGGACATTCACTTTTATATCAAGCATTCACTTTGAAATTAATTTTTTTGACTTAGACTTGCTGTTTATTGCAAATAATACACAAGCTCTTCAGCAACATTTTTACATGACATTTGTTTGAAAAATACATGGACTTAATAAACTGTTTATAACATACTTAAAATTTTGTGTGTTAAAACTTTGTCTTTCTTTTGCCAGAAATATCTTTTAAGCAGAGATGTTTTGAGACACTGAAACAAAACTTACTTCAGCAGTGAATCTATTAGTTAGGCTTGGGTGGAGCTCAGTTTATGTCATCTGTCTGAAAAATATTCATGCTTGTAAGTTCATGCTTAGTCTGGAGAGAGGAAAGACAACAGAGCGAGTTAATCTGCTAATCCAAATTTATAATCACTCTCTGAATATTATAGCTGTTGATTAGTGGCTTTTTTATAATGTGAATCTTCTAACAAGTTTTTATGCTATACAAGTCAGTTATCTGAAGAACTTGAATTCTTTAGTTATTCTGAGATTTCTACGTATAATACCCTCACTGGGTTGATGGGTAAAATTATCGCTAGGTTAGGGAGGGGAAAAATCTTTTTATAGATTTGCATGTACAAATGGTTATGACACGCCAAGTTTGAAAGGGCAAGAGCGTGTTGATTGTAGTTTCAGAAGTGATACAAAATATTTTTGTATTGAAAGTACTCTGGTTCCCACATTTGTTTTTTGGTCTGAAGTTGCTAAACTGCCTCTTGTGGCTAGCATGTTAAGTAATGCCTGTTCAGATTGGTGGAGAACTTGCATGTCTTCTTTAAAGTGCTGTTTTTGTCGTTTTCTATAGCTAGGTCTAAATCTGAATTCTTTCCTTGATCATTTGGTGTTTTGGAACTGTAACTGAAAATCAAGTGTGGCACAGTTCTGCACCTTGGTACTGCAGTGAAAAGCAACGTGAAGCTAAACCTGTCTTTGTTCACCAGTCACAACAGACGTTTGGTTGAGCTACCTATCTTTAGGCACTTTCCAGCCTTGCAAAGGTGACAATAGCAGTTTGTTTCCCCCTGTGCTCTATGTGACTCTTCCTAACTCTGAGTCTTAAGCACAATAACTCCCAGCACTCACCAAGAGTAGTACTTTTAGTAAACTGGTATGGAAATAAACTATATCTGGAAGTGCATGCTATTTATCAAGCCTATCTGAAAATATGTGTTTTCTTTTTTAACACAGAAAATATAAAAACCTAGATCCATTTAAAATATAAAAAGTCTAATACACAGTGTTCTTCATTTTAGCTTTTCATTCCCTAAGAAATCAGGGAAGACATCCTGAATTAATGTAGGTGATACTGTCTTTATTTGGTGGATACCTACAGTAGCTGTCCTCATTTTGAAATGCTAGGAATGGTTTCAGTTAGGTATTTTTATATGAGCTTGTAAAGTACAGGCTGATGATTGTTTTGCCTTTTTTTTTGTTCCTAGATTCATTTTTTGCTGTGCAGACAAGGGAAAAATTGTTCTCAGTCTCCTTAATACTTATAGTTGTTTTTTTTTCTTTGTTTGTTTGTGTTTTTTTTTAATTTTTTGTTAAGTAGCATGGTTAATTTTAACTCTGTTGTAGGTGGTTTCAGATAAATTTTCTGAGAAAGATGTGATTGTGGTCTAGTATCACCTTTGACTTCATCACCTATAGATATAAAAAGTAATAAAAACAATTCTAACATAATCCGTTGCTAAATATGTTTTCATTTGGTTAGCATACACTTTGATATGCAGTTTTTGGAAAATTAGTCTTCAGATAACATGTATCTTCACACAACCTGTGTGACACATATACCTGTATGAGTATAACTAAAGGGCAGGAATTCAGGAGGTAGAGGCAACAGACTCTGGAAAATGAAAAACAAGAGGAGTGGAAGCTCTGAGGTAAATTTCCTCATGTGTTATCCAAATACAAAGATAAGTCACTGCTGTTAAATCATAGAATTTTTAAACACACATCCCAAAAATCATACTTGCTATTTAAAAAAGATTCCTTACACCAATTAAATTGGAGTTTGAGGAATATGGTATAATACATTCATATAACCTTAAGTATTAGATTATTTCACAACTTCATATTACACCTATTAGCATATTGTTTGCAGCTTCAAAACTAATTATTTAATATTTTTCCTTCTTTGTTAGGCTCTTGTGGCAGGAAGAGACTATTGACCTGAGATGGAAGTCAAAACATTTAGCAAAACCAGTAGGACTCCAGAAACGGTATCCACATTAACTAATGAAGAATTTGTCCTGGTTCATCAGCAATCTGAAGACACCTCTGGAAAAGATGAAAAACCTCAGTTGAAGGTTTACTATTACTTTATTTTAAATGTGTAGTAAGATTTGTATTGATAAAAAGATTGCAACTTCTTTTGAGTAGTTAATTAAAGATACTTGTGTGTGCTTGAGGAGACTTTTAGACTGTAATTTTTGTCCTTGCTCATTACCAGTGAATTTAACAGCTCAGATTAAGCAAACCTGTCCAAAAGCATCGGTTCAGTTTTCCTTCAGGGGTCAGTTTTGTTAGTATTTTTTTGATTTGTACATTAGTAAGAGCACTAAAAGGTTCTTTTCGAAGAATGACCTTCAGATTAAAGTTTGGGCAACAAGAAAAACTTCTATAAATGTGTCAGTGATAAAAGGAAGACTAGAGATGATGTAAGCCCTCTCTAGAATGAAACAGGAGACCTGGTCACCTGGGATATGGAGAAGGCTGAGGTACTGAAGTTACTTTTTTCTTCAGTCTTCACTGGCAAGGACTCTGACCACACCACCCAAGTTGCAGAAGGCAAAGACAGAGGCTGTGAGAATGAAGAACCGTTCACCATAGGAGAAGATCATGTACGAGACCATCTAAGGAACCTAAAGGCACACAAGTCCATGGGACCTGATGAAATCCATCCGCAAGTCCTGAGGGAACTGGTGGATGAAATTGCTAAGCTGCTTTCCGTTATATTTGAAAAGTCATACCGGTCTGGTGAAGTTCCCACTGACTGGAAAAAGGGAAATGTAACCCCACATTTTAAAAAGGGAAGAAAGGAAGACCCGGGGAACTACAGGCTAGTCGGTCTCACTTCTATGCCGAGCAAGATCACGGAGCAGATCCTCCTGGAAACTATGCTAAAGCACATGGAAAACAAGGAGGTGATCGGTAACAGCCAACATGGCTTCACTAAGGGCAAGTCATGCCTGATGAATTTGGTGGCCTTCTGTGATGGGATTACAGCATTGGTGGATAAGGGAAGAGCAACTGACATCATGTACCTGGACTTAAGCAAGCATTTGACGCTGTCCCGCAGTACATCCTTGTCTCTAAATTGGAGAGACATGGATTTGATGGATGGACCACTTGGTGAATAAGGAGCTGGCTGGATGGTCTCACTCAAAGAGCTGCGGTCAGTGGCTTGATGTCCAAGTGGAAACCAGTGATGAGTGACATTCTTCAGGGGTCGGTACTGGGACTGGTGCTGTTTAACATCTTTGTTGGCAACACACACAGTGGGATTAAACGTACCTTCAGCAAGTTCGGTGACAACACCAAGCTCTGTGGTGTGGTTGACACCTTGGAGGGGAGCCATCCAGAGGAACCAGGACAGGCTTGAGAGGCAGGCCTATGCAAACTTCATGAACTTTAACAAGGCCAAGTGCAAGGTCCTGCACATGGGTCAGGACAATCCCAAGCACAAATACTGGCTGGGCAGAGAATGGATTGAGAGCTGCCCTGAAGAGAGGGACTTGGGGGTGTTGGTTGATGAGAAGCTCGATGTGAGCCAGCAATGTGTGCTCTCAGCCCAGAAGGCCAACCGTATCCTGGGCTGCATCAAGAGAAACATGGCCAGCAGGTCAAAGGAGGTGATTCTGCCCCTTTACTCTGCTCTGGTGAGACCCCACCTGGAGTACTGCGTCCATCTCTGGAGCCCTCAGCACAAGAAGGACATGGACCTGTGGGAGCGGGTCCAGAGGAGGGCCACGAAGAGGATCAGAGGGCTGGAACACCTCTCCTATGAGGAGGAGCTGAGAGAGTTGGGGCTGTTCAGCCTGGAGAAGAGGAGGCTCTGGAGAGACCTCATAGCAGCTTTCCAGTAGCTAAAGGGGGCCTACAGGAAAGCTGTGGAGGGACTTTTTACAAGGGCATGTAGTGATAGGACAAGGGTTAATGGCTTCATACTAGAAGAGGGTAGATTTAGATTAGGTATTAGGAAGAAATTCTTTACTGTGAAGGTGGTGAGACACTGGCACGGGTTGCCCAGAGAAGATGTGGATGCCCCATCCCTGGAAGTCTTCAAGGCCAGGCTTTTGAGCAACCTGGTCTAGTGGGAAATGTTCCTGCCCATTGCAGGGGGTTTGGAACTAGGTGATCCTTAAGGTCTCTTCCAACCTAAACCATTCTATGAAAACTAGAAATATTCTTTATTTAGGGACCACAGACTCTGACTGTTGTTATCGTAAACGCCTGTAATTAGGCTGCATAGCAATAGACCACAGAGGGTCTTGGTTTTTAGTTTTTAATTTAGTTTTCAGGCTTAGTGCTACTTTAGGCATGACTAAGACCTTTTCTAAATGCTTTCTACCTCTAAAAAGCAGAATATTTTAACATTTGGGTGACAGCAGATTGGTTAATTACAAAATTCTCCAGTTGCAGTAGCTGATTTACTGGTTTTGGTCTGCTTGGAACAATAAGAATTTCTTCCCCTTGAAATGACAATAAATGCTTAATCTGTCTTTGCATAACTGTTTAGCAGTTATTTACAGCTGATGATTTCTGTCTGTATTAAACACCAGCTGCTTCTTTAGTAACTACGTCTGGAAAGAGGCAGATGAACCGGAGGTAGAATCCATGATGCAACTTTGTTATTGGCCATGAGGGTTTTTTTGGTCTGAAAAACTAGTACTTGTGAAAGGCTGTATATTATTTTTCTTTTCTGGGGAATGTGTCTTATAATTTTCTTGCCATTTCCTTTCACTTGCACCCCCCCATGCGTGGGACAATTGGTGAAAGAACTGAAATGGTTTGAATGTGACTAGGAAAGTAGATTTTCTTTAAGACAAATCTGTAACAAAGTCTGATCTCTTTCTTCAGAATGGAGGATCTAAACACACAGACCTGTTATTTCAAGAGAGGTCTGTAGTTTTTAGATGGATGGTTGTTGGACTAGCAGTGAGAACATGTCCATTATATGGAATGGGAAGAGACATTGGATTGTACTTGATTTCATTTTGTTGATTCCGAGATCCTTGGCTCCAGTGTGCTTTAGTGCTAAGCTTTGAGGTATATGTTAGTGTCCTGTATAACACAGGAAAATTGCTGTCAACAATGACTGGTGGGTTGGAAGAGCAGCTGACTGCCATGTGAAACTAGAATGCAAGTATCTGGCTCCACTGCTGGCATATTATGCAACTCTGGAGAAAGAATGCAGCTGTGGCCAGTTTACTTGTCCTCATTGTGCTTTTCCTTCCTGTCCTCCCTGTGTTTTTCCATCAAGAAAATTAAATTAATCACCTTGTGAAACACTGATTCTGCAGGTGGAGAATTATGTAAGAAGTAAATAAAAGTCTATAATGTCCTTTTTGTTCATCAAAAGAATGTCATTCTGCTGCCTGTTGTTTTCTGTAAGCATGTATAGATCAGCGAGCAGACCTTGAGGAATGGGAAATATAAGGATTAGGCAGAAAGGGATGAGTGACTAGTTGAAATGAGCTGAATTACCAAGGGAAAAGATGCTTTATTCAGGACATCTTTAAAAATTTGGATTTCTTGGAGAATGCTGAATTTCTCTTATTCTCAGTAATCTTTAGGAAAAAGAAATTGTAGCTATTTTTATTTTGGTCATTTAAACTGCCCACAAAGCACAGCTTTTCTTTTGTGTAGAGGTTATTTTTTAATACTGCACACCTGAAAAGTTGACATCAAACTACATGTTAAGTGTTTTTTGTTTGTACATTAAGTTGGTAACTTATGAAAATATACAATTTGCTTACTGGTTATTGCTAATTAATATAATAACTTCTAACTTTTGTAGTATTAAATATTAAAAAGGAAAAGATACAAGTCGTTCTGTGAATGTTTTTAGTGGGTATCAGAAGCTTTGCGTGATTAGTTCTAGTTAGTAAAATGGATGTCTCAGTTATATTATGATACAGTCTTATAGGTGGTTAGTGTGGTGTTGTGTTCAGCAAAGTTTCTTAACTTTTGCAATTAGTGAAATTATATGTTTGAAAAATAATAGTGAAAGTAAAGCTAAAAGTTGCTTTAAAAAATATTACCTCCTTCTGCTTACAGGTATTTTCAAATGGAGATGATCAGCTGGAGAAGGCAATGGAAGAGATACTGAGAGATTCTGAAAAAGACCAGAACGATTTCACTGTTCTCCAAGAAGGTTCCAGTGATGCCTGCAGCCAGGCAGCTGGAGATAGATCAGCAGGTCAAACATATCAGCCATCTTTGCACCTTGTTTTAGACCCTTCTACTACAGGTATTGCTGAAGTACTTACCCCCCCAAAGATATATGACAGTTTTTTTTCCTTTATGCAGTTTCAAGTTAACCTTAAAACGAATATAAAACTTTGTGGAACTTCATTCCAAAATTACACTGGAGAATACCCTGGAGCCTCCTCTCCTTTTCTGATTAGTTGTGGATTTTAGACAGGTATAGATTATCATCAGATCAATAACCTGTGCTGCTCTGTTTCGGTCAAGATAATTTTCATTTTGTCTCTGGCCCTAGAAGAATTAGGAGTTAAGTATCAGGTAACTTGCTAAACAGACTACAGATGAGGTGGAGATGCTGGTGGTGGACGATGAGAAATTGCAGGGAGGTGTTCATTGACAGTACTACCTGCAAATGAAATACACCCTGAGCAAACTGATAAACTCTTCAGCCCTGGTTTTATCACCAGGTATCAGCAAGGACAGCTTTAGATTTGACATTTGCTAGGAATGATTGTGGTACTTTGCTGGTATTTGAAATTTTGATGAAAAAGGGAGGACTGAAAGCTTTTTATGTAAAGTGCCCCACACCTCCCAAGCCTGTCAGTTCCTTAGGTCCAGCAGTATTTAGAATCTGTTGAATAATCTAAGGCTGAATTTTAGAAATTTCCTCACGTCTCTTTGATTTACACTTTTGTGAAAGCTCATCTGGACTCCTCTGTTTCCTTTGGATTTTTACTTCTGAATTGCACTGACTATGCTTTGTGCAGGGTAGCAGTCTATACATATTTCAGTGGTGGCTTTGCTGTAGTGTTTTTAATAACTCTGAAACATAATATAAGAAAATGAATGATTACCAAAGAATTCGGGTCTTTTCAGTTACCTTCTGACAGCTTTTTCTTTAAAAAAAATTAGGAATACCAATATGGGTAAAATAGGCCATTTCTGTGGGCCTTGATTTAGAGTTCTTTTTCCCTCAGTAGTATGCAGATCATTTCTGTGGCATCGCATCAGATAATTTCCATAGCATCTGTTTGGGAAGTAAAAAAAAATATAAAAAAAAATAGGGGTTTTTGTGGTAGAATAAGATATACACCTTATGCATCATGGAAACATCCTTATCATAATTACGTGTATTTTAGAATGGTCTGTTTTGAGAAACTTACCTACTGCCTCCCTGTTTGACATGATTTTTAGGCAGATGTGCTTCAAACCGAACATAACCCTTAGTGTGAATGAACAAAAAATATTTGTAAATGCTTTCTCTTTTTTCCTGTTCTTCAATAGAAATAATTCAATTTGCAACCGTTATGATTTAAGTATTAAATTAAATTAAATATTAGCAACAGTAATAAGAAATGGAAATAACAGAGGGCAGATGGCTTAGAGAGGTTTGGAATATCCATCTTCAGAGATAACAAAATTCACCTGGACAGGGCCCTGAGTAACCCGATCAGTGTTGAAACTAGCCCTAATCTAACCTGATCTGTCTTTGAGCAGGAGTTAAAGCTAGATGACCTCTAGAGGTCTTTTCCAACCTAGATTATTCTGATTCCATACTTATGAATTTATCTTCTACCTCTCCTCTTGCTTCTGAAATGTCAAAATGCCTTAGAAAAACCCCATCAGAAAACAAGAACAACAAAATCCCTAAAAGCTCCCTCAAGGTCACCCCTGTCCATGGTAGTGTGATAGTGGAAAAAGAATGCTTCTCTTTTGCTGAGTAGAGGAGCAAACAGATACCCCTTTTCTTGTCTCCAGCTCCCTGATGGTTTTGTGTAGTTTAATGTGGCTATACAGAAGTATGAACCACATTTAATAATTCTACACAAGCTGCAAAGGCATGGGAGAGAAGAAAATTAATGAGGCATCATTATGCAAAATGATGAGTAGGAATTAGAAGGAGGTATAGGCAAACTAAAGAACATCTGGGGCATAGAGCTGAAGGAAAAATTGTGTTCTAGCACTGCTAAAAGAACCAAAAGGCACTTTGAACCTATGCAGTACTTGGAAACATGCATTGGAATAGACTTAACATTAATGTTAAGCTGCCGAATGGATTTCTTACTGTTGGAGCTCGTCCATTCTTAGAAAAAGTGGGAGATTTTGCTGCAGAACTCATTCAGAAAACAATGTGTGAAAATAAAAACAAATGGTTGAAGAAGTGGTTTCTTTATTTTCAGAAATCTCTGCACCAAAGCCATCTTCTCCCAGTGAACCCTTGGAAGAGGACAGCGTATTGTTTAACAAACTGACTTATTTAGGTTGCACAAAGGTGTCTGCCCCTCGAAATGAACCGGAAGCTCTACATGCCATGGCAAACATGAAATCCTCAAGTCAAGCCCCTTTACCTGTGACTCTTTATGTTCCAAACATTCCAGAAGGCTCTGTAAGGTAACATACAAATGTTTCTTTTGTTGCTTGCACAGATACATTAAAGGTGGATTCTGACTTTGTTAGTCAGGGAAGTAGAATTGCTGGGTTTGTGCTTAAAGTTCTTGCTGAAGACAGTTATTTTTGAGGAATTTCTCTGAAGCAACAAAATGCATGCTGAAGTCTGACATGCAGGACATAGTTGGTGGTTGTGGTTGCCATACAGTGTCAACAAAAGCGTATCTTTCTACCTGCATCTCTGTTCAAATATGATAATAAGAGACATACTGGAAAGTGTATTACCCGTATTGTCTTCTCTGAAGTTTCTGAAATATTTTTTGAGTTCTGAGTTTGAGAGGAGTTTAAAATTTTGTATGAGCCCTTAGATCTGTGATTAATATTCACCTGAACATGGCAGCAAGCTTTTGCTGAGCTATACAGTTTTGTATAAATAATAAAACCAAACTGAATAAATAATGTTTTCTTAAACAGAGATTTTAATTCTTTTTAACATTGGATTTTCTTTGATCTTTGTATACAGTTTGCATTTTTACAGTTGCTGTGGTTTCTACATTTCTACTTCTATGTTTTTCATGAATGATTACAGAGCAATGATGGTCATGGTTATTGCATGTTATAGAGATACTATATTTGTCTATATTATGGAGTATAAAAGAAATTAAACATTCAAATCTTCAATTTGGAAAGCCTGACATTTCTCTTCCTGTGGCCCATCTTGGGTACTTGATTTTAGTAGTAACTACAGTTTAGGTATTTGTTTATCTAATTGCAGAAAAGCCTTTTAGGTAGGCGTGTTTGTTTTACTGACCGTTTTCTTTGATTTTTCCCTGTTCCTTCCCTTGGCAGAATAATAAATCAATCAAGCAATGTGGAGATAGCCTCTTTCCCAATCTATAAGGTGTTGTTTTGTGTGCGTGGACAAAATGGGACTTCAGAGAGTGACTGTTTTGCATTTACTGAAAGCAGCTGTGGAACTGAAGAGTTCCAGATTCACGTTTTCTCCTGTGAGATTAAAGAGGCAGTAAGTATTAAATGCTGTACAGTGACTTGTAAAAAGGATACAAACAGTATTTTAAGAAGTTACTCCAGACATGGAAATGGTATATAGTGCCTTGAAAAATACGTTAACACATATAATAATCTCACGGAATGTGCAGCTAGTCATACATGAATATTAATATGCATGAATATTAATATATTTTTTTTAATAATTATTTTCTTCTTCTATTAGAGTTTCAATAAAATGCCAAAGTGCACTGTATGGGAACATTTAGAAAACCTAAGTTTAAGACAAATATTTTGTTTTTCAGGCCTCTCTTGGGTAGGTTTCAGTCTAAAGTTGTAGTGTAGAAGTTGTGAGTTACTAAGACTCATTTAACAGTACTCTGCCCTAGATATTTTAGGAAGAACTACAAGATAGTTTGGGAGAAAAGGATTTTCTAGGGTGGAAAACTTAAGAGGTTGAAAAAGAAGAAATCTCCTTGGTTTTTTGACATCTGCAAGAGCAAGCTGTAAGTTGTGTTGTTAAATACACAACCTGAAAAGTACATTATTCAAGTCCTCTAATGAGTGCATTCCTAATTTTGTAATGTATATTAACTTAATGAGCATTACTTGAGCAGTGAATGTGACATGAGTGGAAATAGGAGTTGTTGTTACTGAATTTGCTTGGTTATTAAGCCCTTCAAAAATATATCACAATATGACATTAAAAATACTCTTTTATTTTTGAGAAAACTACTAATTTTTTTTGCTTTTCTGCAGGTCAGCCGAATTTTATATAGTTTCTCAACAGCGTTCAAACGTTCTTCCAAACAAGCATCTGATCACGTTAAGGACTTTGTTCTTCCTACTCCGGATAGTGATGTGTACACTTTCAGTGTTTCCTTAGAAGTCAAAGAAGATGATGGAAAAGGGAATTTTAGGTAATCTGAATGGAAAGGGAAAAGTAGAAATCTCTTTGTGCAGAATGCATAGCTACTATGTTGCAGTAAAATAGATTTGGCCTCTTTTCATAAATAGACTTGTAAAAAGGAAGCTGTTGCTTTGCTACTACAGTTTCTTCTCTGTATGTTTTCTGTGAAAAGATTAAAAACCAGGATACCTTTTTCAAGTTCGTTTCCTTTAAATACATGATTTCTGGTAGGGATGCTCAGGGTAGGCCTGTGTAAATGGAAAAGATAGTTGGAATTCTGTTACAAACTTTAGTGAAACCAGTTTTCTTGAGTAAATACAGTCAGTATATAGCATATTTTGTGTCATTTTAACCCCCAAAATATCCCATGCATTTTTGGATACATTTTTCTATAAATCCCCCAGACAGTATACTAAGTGTGAGCCTATAGTCTGTTTTTCTTCCGTGTCAGTTTCTTAACTTGTCAAAAAAAGAACAGAAGGTCTCTCAAATGCGTTGAGCCATTAACAGTTTAAGTGGGCTGCTACTCTCTTTCCTTTATTTAATGGTTAATCTTCTATGTCTGTGCTAAAGAAACTTGTTTCTTTATTCTTTTAGCCCTGTGCCAAAGGATAGAGAGAAATTATATTTCAAGCTTAAACAGGGAATTGAAAAGAAAGTGGTGATTACAGTTCAGCAACTCTCAAACAAAGAACTGGCCATTGAAAGGTAAGATTCATATAAAAATAATACAGGTTAAGTTTTTGAGAGAACAGTATTTTATGTACTTTTTGCTGGCTTTCCGAGTTATGTGACGTTTTTGAGAGAACAGTATTTTATGTACAGTTATGTGAGAGAAAAAAATACATCAATAACACAGAAAGTAGGATTGCACAAGAAAATTAATTTATAGATGCATGGTTCACTTTTAAATTTCTTTGGAAGTATTTGTGTGACTTTTAGGTAAAAACAAGAAACAGGCTCAAAACATTCCTTTTTTTTTCTTTTAATGGTCTTTTTCAGTGTGGTGTTAGGGTACTTACGACGTTCAAATGCTTTTGATTTTGCTTTCTGTTGTTTTTAAGTAGTGCAAGCCCACACATTTATTGTAATCCTGCATTACCAGCATTTCACTGTTTAGTAAAAGTAACCAAGTTAGGTTGTCTGAACTATGTTATGCCTGTCTGTTAACATTGCCTAACTATGTCTGTTAGAGCAATGTACTGAAACATTACAAGTTTGGACTCAACCTGCTGGTTAGAAGATGGAATCTTTTCATGGAGTCTTCAAGATGAGTAGGATTCCTTTGTAGTTTTGTTATAATGATTCTAATGTTTATCTTCAAGTGATGGTGAAGAGCTCAGGTATGGTTGATGACTCATGCTGTATTTCCTGGAAGTTACATGAGAGGAATACATTTTGGACAAAATAATCTGACTTTTGGTGCAAAGCATTTGCACAATAAGTGGACCGTGCATGTGAAGAATAAGTTAGTTAAATTAGCAGTAGACTCTTGTTAGTGCAGTAGTAGTAGATATTGTATTGATTTGAATTAGGAAATTCCTTCTCAATAGCTCAATTTTTAAAAATAGCAAACGCCACCAGATGGCAATGTTATCAAAAGAGTAACAGTAGGAGAATTCAATTTTATTGACAAGGGAATTCACAATAACAGGGGAATCAAGAAAAAAGCCCCACAACCCTCCCAGAACCTAAGATTGATTTCTTCACTTGCTTTCAAGCTCTTATTTAAAAAATGACCCTTATTTGAACATGAAGCTAAAATTTTAGACAAGTAATATACAGCAGAATTTTTTATCATCATTCTTTTGTGTTGTAAAATTGTGGTTTTGCTACTCATTGGCTTATAAAAAAATCCTATTTTCAATGTATTTTTAATTTAAATAATTTTAGCTTCAGAATTATTATTAAAGAATGATGAACTCTTAAGCATTTCTGAATAGCATTTGATTGTTCTGTTTTTTTTCCCCCAAAAGCAAAGCTACCTTCCTTGGAAATTACCTTTTTTTTTTGTTGTTTAGAATATTCAATTAAAATGGTTTTTTTTATCACCACAAGCTTTGCTGATAAAAATTTATTTAATTGACATGACATACACAGCCTTGTAAGTCATTTTATGTACTTAGACTGCATAACATTAAAATTCAAAACCAGTATAAAAGATGAATTCGGGTTACATCAGACAGTGAGCTTCTAAGCAATTTAATGTGCCTTAAAAAGTATATCTAAGTGTAAATTGCAATGCAAAAAAATGTTGTTACTAAAGAAATTTGGTCTCTGGCCTAAAGAGTTCAAGAGTCTTTCTTCGTGGTCCTGGAAAAGTAAACCTGGTATCACTCAGAGAAACTTGCTACCTCCTGGTGTTCAGATGGGCTTATGGCTGGGTTAGGTTACTCTCAGTTGAGTTACTTTGGCTCTTCGTTCCTCTGTGACCTGTTTGACCTGGGTTTTGCCTGTTTTTATCTAGGTCAAAGCAGGTAAAGAAATTATGTTCATTCCAGTTTCCCAGGTTTGAGTCATGGACGGCACTACATAGGTTCAGTCCCACAATGTGGGATATCAAGTCTTAGTTGTTTACAGGATTCAAGAAGAAAATGCTCATTAATAATCAGGGAGCTTTAAAAAAGTTGTTCTGAAGAGTGAACTAGCCTTTCATTCTGAAAGTATGCTACTAGTCATAGAGCAGAGTTAATACCAAGTTATGTAGATATAGCTTAGGTTGAAGTGTAGACTGGCGTCCTTAGAACTGATGTATAGAATATTGGCTGATGCTCAGCAGTACTAGAAACTCCTAAAGATCATGTTGTTATGGTAGCTTAATACCATCAGCCTTATCTGTGGGTAGCGTTTCTATTTATATAAATGGAAATATATATTAGTGAAGAATAATATCAGTTCTTTTTTGCAGGTCTAGAAACTAGCTGAATTTAAAGAGAGTAGTGCACCTGCACATAGCCACTTGGTAGCCAGCTGTAAGTGCAGAAAACCCAACATGTCAGAAGTGGCAAGACTGAGGCCCGCAGTCTATGCAGGTCATCTTGAATCTTGGGTGTGTGGTTCAGCCCCCTCAAATCGGAGACTGAATCTGTTGACAACTGTTGGCGTAAAATCTGTCTCCTCTGCAAGTGAGGGTACTGAGCACATTTGAACTTATTTTGCTCTTTGAACTTAGTGGGAAGAGAAGCCCTGACTCTTCTAGTAGCAGGATGCTGCCAGTTATCATAAGTATCTGCTTCTGTGAGAGGAAGGGATTACTTCTTCCTGACTCCGACTCTTTTGGAAGCATACTTCCCAAAAATTTTGGCTGGCACACATCAGAACTTGTGTACATCTGAGAGAAGTACAGCAAGAGCTAGGATCTGTGAGCTGTCTTTGAAAAGCACAGATGTTTTGCCTACCACTGGATCTTAGCCTTACAGTTTTCTTTAGCAGGTGTACCAGAAGCTAGTGACCCCTCCCCCCCTATTATAAATTATAGCCCTTTCAGAGCTATTTCTATGTCAGAAACAAAAAGTAGTCAGTCTACTGTAACGTGCTGGCTGGTCTAATTAGTCTCGCAGAGAAGCCTGCTTGTGTGGTTAAATGAAAGTCCTAGCATCCTAGCTACCTTGGTTGCTTTACATGGCACTGCAATATGCTATATAGATAAAACAAAATTGTTGTCTACTGTTTTATTTATCACTTTGATTTTTAAGATTCTAGTAGTGAAAGGGTATGGAGAAGGAAAAATACAATTGTGGATGGAAGTTACTGTTTCATTGTAATGAGGTGGAAAATGAAGATCATATACCCAAACGTAATGGGGGAGAACTTACTAAACTTACTAGGTGGTGTAGTAATTGCATATCTTAAGACTTTCACAGTTAATAGCATTACTGAAATGGTAGTTGCTAGTATATCTCTGTGCATGATATAGTATACTTGCCGGAAAGCTGGGAAACTATTCTGTCTTCATTGCTAACCTATGAATGTTCAAATGATCTCTTACAATTTATGTTTGCTGAAAATATAAATAATAAGTGGGTTGCCCAGATGACAGAGCTGCCTTTGGTCAGACTTAGAGAAGGATGAGAATGGGGGGGCTCTTTGTGATGCATTTGAATACCTGGTCAGAGGATATGGAGGAGGTGGAACCAGACTCTTCTTGGACATGCAGAGTGGTGGGATTAGAGTAAATTGGACACAAATTACTTCCCTGGAAATTCCCCTGTTGAATGAGTTGTTACAAATAACTAAGCTTTCTGTATTGTGTTAATCATGTTGCCTTAAAATTTAGAGCAAATAATTGTTGTCAATACAAAGACAGTTGAGCATTGGAACAGGTTGCCAAATGAGATGGTTCATTCTCTGTTCCTGGAGATGCTGAGAACTTGATTTGGCAAGGCCCTGGGCAACCCAGTTCAAGTCGGTCCTCTTTTGAGTAGTGCCTTTGATATTCAGAAAGTTTGAAAGTGTGAATGTTTTGGAATTCTTATTCTTTTTACTCTTAAAAATATCAAGAACATTTTCTTGTTAAATAACTGGACTGGAATTCAAGGCCCTGTATAATACAGAAGTTCAGTTTTAAAAAATAAAGAATGAAAGTCTAAAAAATCAGCACGTTGTTTTTTTTTTTAAGGGCCCATGATGCTACATGATGTTTTATACCAGTGACATCATGAGTGATAGAATGCGTGAATTTGTAACTTTTCATATGGTTGTATGAAAAATAATTTTTAAAAAGGACCGGCGAGAGAGTGAATTTCTTCTTGCCAATCTCCATCACTAATGTATAGGAATTGTTGGTATCTTTAAGCTCACTATTCTAAGATGTCTTTAAGAATAATTGATTGTTCACAGGTCAGACACTAATTTATGTCATCTTAATTCTGGAAAATAATTTCATTGTCACTTCTATAATACATATTGTGATGTTTCCTGAGCGTTGCCATAACACTAACAAAAAGTTACTAAGAAAGGTTTTCTTTAAATTAGAAGCAGTAGGTGGCTGTGCCATTATGTTCAAGAAAATAATTTTTCATTTTGAAAAGCTATCTTTTAAATTATTTTTTTTTTTTAAATAAACTTCACAGATGCTTTGGGATGCTACTGAGCCCTGGACGAAACGTGAAGAACAGCGACATGCATCTGCTAGACATGGTAATACTTAGCTCTAATATACTATTTAGTAAGATAGAGGTGATTTTAAAAAAAAAAAAAAACAAAAACAACAAACAAAATCCAAACAAACAAACCTCTCATCTGTTGGGGTTTTTTGTTTGTTTTTTTTGTTTCTTAAATCCTGCGTTTTATATCTTAAAACTAGAAACAAACTTGTTAAATAGAATGGGTAAAACATTTCAATTAAAGTAAAAACCTGTGGTATCTGTTTTTTGTTCAATTGGTGAAGACACTGATTAGGTCAGCTGACAGCTGGTTGTTACAAATAACTAAGCTTTCTGTATTGTGTTAATCATGTTGCCTTAAAATTTAGAGCAAATAATTGTTGTTATATTTGGGCATCAGGGGAGTAGTCTTATTTTTCCTAGGTGCTGGAAACTTTGCCTTTATTTGCTTCATTTGAACTTAAATTCTTGCTCAGAGTTTGAAGTATTCACTTGTCTTCTACATTCTTCATTTCTTATGAGTTGCTTCTAAGAGAACTGCAAAGTAATAATACTTTCTGTGATAATATGAATTTACTTTCATCCTGTGGATAAGAATACAACCATTTTCAAGTCAAAAAGTGCTTGAGTTAAACCAATCGGACATTTTGTAGCTGTACAGTTATCCCAGTTTTACCTAATCCATTTCTTTACTTGTGTTGATGATTCTGGCTATCAGTATTTAGTTCTTTTGTCAGACAAGATATGCAAATACTATATTATTTGCCTGTTTGTATCTACTAGCTCCTTTTTTCTGTTTTTATTTGCTAATGTTAGCTTCTCAGATATAGAAGCATTGCTGTTACTATTAACTTTATCATATGTGGCTGTTTTGACTTTATTTGCATACTGTCATGAAATTTGGCTCTTTAAATCTCAAGTTCCTATGAACTGGAATTCCAGTCCATTGGCATACTTACAAATGTAAGTCCATGCCTTGAACTAGTCAGGGAAATATCTGGCAGAGTTATAATTACTAAGTGGGAAAAAATCAGCCTGACCTTTGGCATTGTTAAGGTATTACTCTGCTAAGATTATTTTTTTTTTTTTTTCTGGACCATTTCTGTGTATACTGTGGGGTGAGTTTAATTGTAGGAAGTCTTTTAACTCATCCTCTCCAACCAACCATTTCAGCTGCTCAGAAAGTAGAGTGGCAGACATCCCACCATGCTTTCATGCTTATAATAAGCATTGAAAAAAATACGTTGATAAACTATCTTAGTCTTCAGTTTCTTATGTAGTGTTTCTCCTCTTCTACTGTTTCTTCTTTCTCTCCCATTTCTCTGTAACCTTTCTCAATCCATTATTTCATATTCTTTATTTGGATTGTGTTCTTGGATTGTGTTCTCTAGAGCGAACACAATCTTACTCTGAAGTTCCTAGAACTATTTCCCCTCCCCATGCTCAATCTTTTTGGTCTCAAACCATGACTCTTAATAGAATCCTGTATGTGTTTATTTTTAGGAATCCATGGGAAAGAGATCTGATGGGAAGGCTTATGTGATTACTGGAATGTGGAATCCTAACGCACCCATGTTCCTAGTGCTTAATGAGGAAACTCCTAAAGGTAACTTAATATAATTTGTAACTTTGTTTGACCTGACATGGGTTTGGCGTATGTATTTTCTCCTGGAAATCATGGTGCATACATCTGAGTACATACATCATTATGTTCCAAGAGTCCATGGCTAGGATGGCTAGGAACTTAACTGTATAAATGTATGTAACATAGCAGTGTGAATAGTAGTTCAGAGAGCTATGTGTTGCTCATACAGAGATGTTAAATTAGTGTTTGGGGCTTATGTGCCTGTTCCCTGATTTTTTACAGAAGTTGTTTTCTACCTTCTGTACTCAGCAAAGCAGTGTAAGTCTGAGGAATTGCTATTCTCTTTCTTTTAGTTTTGAGGTGAGTTGATTACAAGTAGCATTAGAATCCCTTCATCATGGGGCAGCTGGAAGAGAAACACTGAAGTACTTGATTGTGTAGCACAGTTTCTTACCGCTAGAATTGATGTTCTCTGATGTGCTGTAAAAGGTTTGAATGCAAATCTGGACTTTTGTTTCCTATCCCACGGCAGAGCTCACATCAGTTGTTAAAAGTATATACAACCAGTGTCACTGTTCTTGCTGCTGGATTTTCAAACCACTTTATTTCTTGTAGTGTGTAGGCAAAACTCTTGCTATGCAGCTTGACACAGTTTCTGTTTTATGATATGACTTTGTCTGTGTGTATGGTTTGTTTTGGTTTTTTTTTTTTGTGTGGGTTTTTTTGTTTGTGTGGGGTTTTGTTGTGGGTTTTTTTTTTCATGTCCACTTGCCTCTTTGGTCTGATAAGACAAGAAAATCTAGGGATCCGTAATGTCTGATTCTAAAAGTTTATTTTAAAAATCTGTGCTTCCTGCAAGAAAGGTGTCAGTTATGATGGAAAATGATGGTCACTACCTCTCTCTGAGGTGAATGATTCCAGAAGCAACAATCCTTTTCTTGCACTGTACCCCTGCAAAAACCAAACAATGCTGTAGGAGCTCCTTGACACTGATTTGCTATATATATGTTCTCTCAGCAGTAAGTTTATACTTTAAAATGTGAACTTATCCTGTGCCTATTCCTTCAGTCTGATATGGATCATGTATCTTAATGCTCTTTTCTTTGCCTGACATTTTGCTCCTAGCTTTAAAACAAAGGCAGATTTTCTTTGTTTCAAAAAGTTATCATTTACTTGGTACACTAACACATACCTTCATTCTATGCAGCAGGCATGTAGAGTTTAGAACTCAGATAAATAAAATGGGTGCAAGAGAATCAATAATTACATAGAAAGGGTTTTGAATTTAAACAACAGTTTCCTTCTGTCATTTATTGTTTTGAGAAATTTGAATTTTGACTACTCTTTATGTACGTGACTTGCTTTTCTGTTTTAGATAAGCGTGTATTCATGACTGTGGCAGTGGATATGGTTGTTACTGAAGTAGTAGAGCCAGTCCGGTTTTTGCTGGAGACTGTTGTGCGTGTGTACCCTGCCAGTGAACGCTTCTGGTACTTCAGCAGAAAAACCTTCACGGAAACTTTTTATATGAAGCTAAAGCAGGTATTGCATGGGGGGGTTTTGAAGAAAACTGTATGCTGGGAGCATTTGTTTTGTCTGTCTTAATTCAGCCCTTCTAAAAGTTATCATGACACCTGCACCTCAGTAGTTTGTTTCTTTTAACTGTTTATTGCTGAGATCCTTAAATGCACAATGGTTAAGGAGCGTACATAAATGTTCAATGCCTTTGCAAACTGAATTGTAGTGAATCATAAGTCATTGGCTTTGTGGGCTTAAACAATTTTAAACTTGCCTATTGAATTGTGTGTAATTTCATACAGTCTGACCTTTGTGCAGGCACCTAAAGCAAGTCCATTTGACTGGGAAATGACTCTTTAATTTTTCACTGTAAAATCAAGTAATATGTATCAAAGGGAAATCCTGGCTACTGAGGTTCAAAATGTGGAGGTAGGGGGCTGTAAGAATATAACCAATTAAAGGGAAAGGAATCTTATGCAGAGGTTTAAGAGAGTTAGATTATTGCTCTTGTTTTCTCAAAGTATCTGAGAAAGTAGGTTTCTCCATGTTTTCAAAAGATGAGTTTGGAAGAAGATTATCTGGAAAAGTAAGTTCTGATTCATGGAGAAGCTGCCACGTTTTCACCCTTGTGGTTGCTGATGAGGGTAGAAAATGATCTACATTCTTGTCCTTCACTACCTCAGGGCTTTGTGAAAGGTGAGGTGAGGGCATTAATGTTATAAATTTATTAAATTAGCATTCTTCATATTATTTCATGATGGTGACTCTAGCCTTATGAAATGTTCAAATAGCAGTAAAGAAATAACCATTTTTAGCAAAACCTTCTCTAAGTATTTCAGTTTGTCAGTCCCTTCAAGTTTGGATTTTCAGTCAAGTTGTACAAACACTGCTTGATTCTACAGAGGGGGGAGGTGGTTAAGATGAAGCTTAATGCATAGTTGTGTGTCCCCTCTATGTTAGCTTTCCTAGTCCTGTGCTTGTGTGATTAATGTGCATTTATTTTTTCCTCAAGCACTGAGAGATAATATATTCATCCCATCTGTTAATGTTTGTTAAATAGTTATCTATTGAGTAGAATGCTAAAGTGTCTTCCGTTTTTGGCAGTGGGTGAGGTACATAAAGTATGTATGTCTGCCCTTTATCATTGTAGGATGATGCACAATTGCATCCTCCTGCAGCAACTGTTGACCTGCTTTCTCCAGAGACTTATGTTGTCGTATTTGTTCAAAAAGTGAACAGCAGAGGCTGACTGTACCATTTGCATTGGAATAGTGGTCCATCATTTTTGACTAATGAAACCAAAGAGCAGTGATTTAATTTTACTGAGCCTAATGTGAATATTTGAGTTGTCATCTTCCTATGGGGCATAGTAATAGGTCTGATTGTTGATTATTACATGGCAAAAGTGCAGCTGTGTTTAACAGTTAGTAAATAAATCTCATGCAATGCTGTTTCTCTGTTTCTTCTAGAGTTTAGTGTAGCAACTTAGAATTTAAGAAAATCTGAGAAACCCAACTGTTATAAGCAAATGTTGACTGTATCTACATTTTAAATTTAAAGAAAACACATTTGAAAATCTTACATTCTCAGCTGTTTGGTACTTATCTATAATCAGTTAAACTTTCACTTTAAACCACTTGCAACTGTACTGTTTTTAATTGAGTAATATGGATGCTTCCTTTTTTTCTTTCTCACCCCTTGTAATGTGGCAACATACATGTGCCTCCCCACCCTGAAGAAACGCATTCATTTCTTCCTGCTGTAAAATTCTGAGGAGCTGTTCTGCAGACTTTTGGGAGAGGAACACTTTTAATCTTTGTAATCTTTCTATAAGATTAAGTCCTGATTCTGGATGACAGAATCTCTCTGGTTGACCTGTAGCAAGTCTTTATTTAGCCAATTATCAGATGGACAGTTTGTATTGCAATAGCTGTTCCTGGAGATACCTCTGAAAGGCACTGTACCTCGGGGCACTATTACTTCTTGGAAAATAGCTTTGCAGATGGCATTTGGATCAGCCGTTTATGGACTTCTGGGGAAAGCTGTTGAGTTTAACTAGGTTCTAGGGAATGTAACAGTGGATTAATCATAGAATGGTTTAGGTTGGAACGGACCTTAAAGATTATCTAGTTCCACCCCCCCTGCCATGGCAAGGACACCTCCCACTAGACCTGGTTGCTCAATACCAAAATAATAATATCAATATAATAATAATAAAAAATAATAATATAAAAATAATAACATCAAAAGCCTCAGCTCCAAACACAGGTGGCTTCTCTGTGCAGGATAACAAATCCTGTGGTATAATTTCCTGTTGATGTAAAGTTAGGATAATAATGCATTGTGCAAATGTGGCGTGTTTGACTGTGGGTGAGACATTCATGCTTGCAGTCTGCTTAGTTGTAATTTCTAGCATGCAGAGTCCTTGGGAGGAAACTTTAGACTTGGGCTCTGTCAGCAAGGTGCCCATTCCAGTAAGGAAGCATCCATTACTGATGTTCCAAAAGGAAGCAAGCAATGAAATGGCATTTTCCTGCAAGGGGTAAATGGCACCTGTCTGAATTGGCAGAAGAAAATCAGAACTGTTCTGAGTAATGATTCAGATAGATTTAATAGTCTGAACCAAGATTGGTGAGGTGCAGTCAGATATGAGGAATGACATAAATGCAGGTTGCTGTGTGATTTAGGATTTTTCTTTCTATCTATCTATCTACGTATCTATCTTATCTGTCTATGTATCTCACTGTTACTCGTGCACATTTTCATCATTAGAACATGATCCTTGTAAAGGTGGATTCCTGTAGATACCAAATGCGTGCTTCAGGAAAAACAAATAACCAAATTATTTACATTTTATAGAGATGGGTCTTGCAGTTAACTAGAACATGTACAAGGAGGTGAAGACTTGTAAGTCTTGAAACATACAACAAAATCCATAGGACCTCATGCCTTACTCCCTCAAAAGTAAAAGCTATAGATAGCAATGATTAATAATATTAGTGGCATTGGTACTTGATTGATTTAACCAAGAACTTTGTAATTACTTGATAATGGTGTTCTGTGAGAATAAAACAGGGATAATGGCCCTAATACCATCCTGCTAAATGTTATAAAATGCAGGGTATTTATGCCTACACCCTGAAATTCATTAAGCAGACTTCATGAGAAGTTCAGTCAGCAAAACTGGCTGATAATTGGAGCCACTGCTTCCAGGGTGTATCAGCTTTAAAGGAAGCAGACCTGAATGGTTAATCTAAAACACAGTAGGAAAGTTTTCTCAGTATAAAATAATTTATATTGTGTCAGTCCAAGCAGTCCCTGTTTAAGCTACCCATCTGCATAATTTCACCAGCTTGTTGAAATTGCAAGTGCTGGTCAGCAGTTCATGTGCATGTCCAGCTAAAGTGTCATGGAGTCTTCCAACTTTATAATAATTTTGTTTTTTTTAAACAAATTGAATATTCTGTAGCTGAAATTGTGTTCTTTTTCACGGTTAATTTGATGTTTTTAATATGTTCAAAAAATTACCTTATTTTAACTGATCAGGCAAGATGCACAAAGAACAAAATAGCACAACACTTTGGGCTGGTTCATTTAATACAATCATTAGTTTGCAGTTTTATACAATTCTCCACAAATATATTAATCACTGCATGTCACTGAATAATAATTGTGTTCGGAACTGTAACTCAGAGGAGAAACTAATACTCCTTTTATTTTGAAACTTGCAACCTTATATCCAGTGCTTAAAGTATAGGTAACTGACTACTTTTTTCATGTGAAAGTCCACTGAACATCAAAGAATTAGATCAAACTCTGAACTTTTCCAGCTTGAAGTAAAAAGAAAACAATCAAGTTCCCCCTGCCCCCAACCTTTGAGGTAGTTTGCCTTGAAAGTTACCAAATTGCTAAAGAGACAGATTTGGAAGAAAAAAAACTTTTACAGAACAAAATGATTATCCCTGAAGACGTTCTGTTCTCAAATATATATGGTTACAGATACCACACTTGAATTTCCAGGTTAATGTAACTGTTAGATTGACAGATATTCATGATTTGTACATGTGCGCACACACAGACACATGCACGTATCTAAAAGTAAGAATAAATCAAACTTAGGCTACAAAAAGAAATTTTATAGCTAGGTACAGCCAATAACATTTCCCCACTGAAAGGAGTATCTTACAAATTATACCCACTGGAAGAAAGATGAATTTTTTTTATTTTTTTTTTTTTTAGAGAGTAAAACACTACAAGGAGCTTTTCACCGTTTACGGCTTTCAAAAAGCATGAGGTTTTGTTTCTTCCTTAGTTTTTGTCTTTACCTACTAAAAATTCTTTCCATTAAATTTTTTGCCTCCCTCAGGCATTCAGTTCCTGTTTCTGTGACCTCACTTACTCAAATATTTTTTCTGTTTGTTTTCTCCTCTTTTCTTTTGCTGTGGTTTCTCTTTGACCTCATCTCATTATAGCTATTTAAATTGGAAAGCTTTTTTTATCATCGATCTGAACAATACTTAAAATGGTTGTTAAGAGGCAGCTTTGGAAATAACGCACTTTTATTTATACTTTCTACCTATAAAACTTAAAAAGAAACATAGATGTCAGTTACTGCCAGTCTACGAGTGCCATTGCAAAGAAATCTGAGGGAGTCTTGCTCAAACTGTTGTTTAGCCTTGATAGGAGATTTGTTTGTATGTGTTTGGGTTTGATTTTGGCATGCTATTAGAACTTCCATTTGTCAACAGTGGGGACCTAACACATACACATATTTTGTTTTAGTCTGAAGGAAAAAGCCACACAAGTGCTGGGGATGCAATTTATGAAGTTGTCAGTCTACAAAGAGAATCTGCAAGAGAAGAAGAATTGGTCAGCCCAACGAGTGGAGGAGGGCCTATGTCCTCATCCCAGGAGGATGAGGCAGAAGAAGGTAAGAATAAGTGAGAGCTTACAGTTCCCACAGAGAGTGCTATTATATTTCTGCTGTTAATTTACTCATTTAATTCTTCCTATTTGTGTCAATACAACTGTTTTGGACAAAAAGATCACATGTAATTTTCTGCTAGCAGCAGTTCTTCAGTAATGGCCTTTTTACCAACCCATTATTTGGAGTTCTTCCAGTAGCAGCAGCAGACAACGCATGTCTGTTTTTCTGTGTGCTTCAGGAGGTGTTACTGAGGCACTTGTGCTCTGCTTACAAGATAGAAAACCGTTCTAGACGGATTTTCTTCTGATCCGAAGCCATTTGCCTTTACTGTGCTGCTAAAGGACAGCATTGAAATGGGCTTTGAAATGGTTGGCTTTAAATGCCTGTTGGGATTTTTTTTGTTTTTCTTTACCAAACAGACTCATATGGGGAATTCCCCCATCCCCAGACTGTCTGCTTAGCATGTGATTAGTTTTTCCTCATTTATAACTAGGGCTTATCAAAATATCTGCTGGTGCAGTTGGGGATTGTGTTGGGGATTGCTGCTGTTCATGAACCACCTGTATTTGCCTGCCCCTTCTAAAGATAACAGTACCTCAGTGTCCTTCCCACTGTTATTTTTTTTGTTGTTGTTGTTTGTTTGTTTGTTTGTTTGTTTTTTCATTCTTTTGAAGGCCCTTGGCCTCCTGTCCTCTCATTGTACTCTGAGGGTTAGCCCCTAGCATTCAGAATAGGCTTTCTATGTCCCATTTTCGATCTGATACCTGACCTGCATGAACTTGTGATAGTCTTACAAAGTTGTTATTCAGGTTTCTGGCAGTGTCTGCCAATACTACAAAAAGTCTCACTTACTACAGCAGAAAAATTCCTCCTTGATTCTTACTTATAGGTAAGTAGCTGGATATTAATTTATGCACTACAAATTGCATAACCCTCTGATTCACAGTCAGGAGCAGACAGGTATGGTTACTCTCTTCTAGTTACAAAAAAAAACCCCCACATATCCCAGGCGACACCAGGCTTACAAAGCCCACAACCAAGTGCTCTTTGGTGAATTGAAAACCTTCTACTGATTCCTGGGAGGGAGTGGGATGGGCATTGACTATCACTGTTATTCCCTCCTTTTTATCAAGTACCACTTCTGAATTGTAAAAATACTATTTTCTCTAAAGGAGCTTTTATATTTAATTGGTATTTGCAGCTGCTTTACTGTTCATAGCAAGAATTATTTCAGATTTGACCTTTGGGTCTTGTGGTTCAGTGTAGTGTAGTTGAACATCTGTGGGTGTTCTTTTGCTTGCTGGATGTTTGAGTTGTATAGCCAGAGTGTTTTCTGGAGCTTGTTTGGTAGGATAGAGTTTAAGTAATTACTTGAATACATTTTTTTTGTTTTAAACATTGCTTCTTACTGGGAGGAGTAAAGCACTGTTGCAAAATTTGATGGGTGTAGCACAATTAGTAATAATGTGGATATTGTCCTCTTCATGCTATTATAGCATGGCTTTATTTTATTATAGAGTAAAAGTATTCCACTGGGGTGTGAACCCAAGTTAAACTTTGGTTTAGCTTCCTAATGCTAGTTTCCATATTTTAAATGTAGATTACTTCCTAAGAGAAGACATTAAAAATATCATGATGTGATTCTGTTCTCATGGAAACTGCATTTAGAGTTATCTTCCTAGAAGTTATCTATCCTAGTGGATATGCAGGTTAAATGAGTCATTTGCAGTTGTTCTAAATAAATCTCTTCATTCTTTTTCTTTCTTTTTCTTTTCAGGGTACTAATTATGATGATGGAAAAAAAACCCCTTGAGTTTACAATGTCTTGTCTTAGCCTTGGAAGAAGGCTTTTTCTTTACTTTAATGTTAAGAATGTTAGCTACCTGGCCATATATGTTTTGGGTTTTTTTATTTTTCTGCTTGCAACCTGACTAGGGCAGGTGTCCATTATAAGGATTTTATTATTTCATAGGCCAGAGGCTGTTGTTCCCATTACAGATATTGAGGATTATTATCTGTTCTTTTTTTTTTTTTTGCTATATCCTCATATATATCCTACATGCCCACAGAATATTACTTAATTTACTTCAGAAGCACTATACATTGCAGTTTAATTTGTATAATGCTGTAAGAATGCATGCCGCATTTGCACCTTACCTGATTTCTGTGTAGTCTCTGTGTGTGCATACACACAGCTCAGTGGGATGTCTTATGTCATGAGTATATGAATAAAGATTTTCATAAGAATGAAGGCATTTTTTTTTCAATATTCTTGTTCTTTTTGTCTTAATGAAAAGCCAAACATAATTTCCCTCTCCCCAATAATGATTTAAAATAACTACTATACTAGTGTTAGGCGTAGTCCCATTCAATGTGCAGCAACTGCATATAGAAAATTGAGATCATATATTCCCTAAATAATATTCTTAGCTTTTAATATTCTTTTCTCATTTTAGCTTTATTTTTCATCTGAACAGCTATATAAAAAAATGAAGATCTTTGCAAAGATTGTGCAATAGCTACTTAGAGATCTTTCAGATTAAACTCACTTTAAAAAAAATTATTAATATTGTAATAGATATTTCTGGCAACCCAGTCATTTAAGTTTCCTTGCTTTGGAGATAATAATTTTTAGAATATAATAAATATTAATGATTTCTTGTCAAAACCTAGAATGTAAGGTACACTCCTTAATGAGAAATTTTCTATTAAATTCAGAATATAATTTTAAAAGATTCAAATGTATAATGAGGAAATTCTTACTCTTTCTGGAAAGGTTTCAAATAAAACAGATTTAAGTATAGGTTTTTTTAGTATGTAGAAAAGTACATTGTTAATATTTAATTTTGAGTAGAACCTTGTAACAGGTGAAGAGCCCAACTGGTTGAACTAATCTTTCTCCTTTTTGGAGCATTAAGAATAAGTGAGAACATGTACAGAAGTGATGGTTTGTACATTGTATTATTCAAAAAAGACAAAGCTGCACAGAGCATTTTTATTGTAGTATCATTCTATGGCAGGACGAAGTGGCTGGCTGCATGCATGAGCCTAAGGAATGGCGAAAATTTCTTTCCAGCAGAAGCATTTGCAAGGAGAATGTAGTCCTAGAAACGAATAACAAAGGAGAAGCGGGAAGAATAGGTTGGCTTCTTTTAGCAGCAGTGCTTGCTTAGACCAGACATGAAATGATGACCTTCCTTTGGTTCTAATATTTTGCTGCTATTTTTTTTCTTAAACTATAACATTTCAGGAGAACACTAGGTAACTCCATTTGAGTTTCATCTTGAATCAGAATGATGGTAGAAGGTTAAGGATCACTGTAAGGGGGAGGAATTCTGTATAAAACCAGAAAATAGTCTTTAGCCTGATTGTAACTGACTTGGAAGATTTTTTTGCTGAAGTTTTATGTGGTCCCAAGTGTCTGTTTACTAGCTCTTGTTCCAATCTATAAATCGCATGCAGAGTAAACATGGCGTGTTTAGCAGACATCCTGAAACAGGTAATTCATGATAGGTGAAAGATAACATGCCTACCAAGTCTCCAAAATTAAGTTTCTCAGCATGAGTTGTAGATTTCCTCTAGAACACTCTCAAATAACTTCCAGGAATGCAGTGCTGTTTGGGTTTGTGTTTTTATTTACCGCAGCAATAGATTTCTTGATGATTTATGTGTTACTTTTCTGACAGCTGGGAATTGAGCAGGGATGCAGTTGACAGCATAGTGGATACTGATCCATAAACCAGTGGACTTAAACCAAAAAGAATCCTATTGAAATGTGTTTGGTGTGTAGTTGTTTGCCTTTAATAAGAAGAAATTATGTGTAAGTATGAAGCTGTAGAAGCAAGAAAGGGCAGCAAAAGAGAAGAAATAACAAACTTAAAAGGGTAAAACTTTCTCTCTGTGTGCTCTCTAGCTGTCTTGACTCTAAGAACGAAAAGAAAGACGTATTATACAATAGAAAAATTAATGTAAGAGGTGTGGAAATTCAGTGTGGAGATGGTGAAATTTGACAAGGAAAATAGAAATGAAAGGATAAAGGACCCTGAAAGCTTCAAAGAAATCAGAGTGTGGTGTGTTGGACAGCACAAAAAGATGGTGCGTACAGTAGATAAGGAGTGGGCAATACTAAATGATTGGAGATGATCAGCCAAACTAAATTAGGATACTGTGTCAAATGTTGTGGGTGGGTGGAGGCTGTTTTCAGGATACAAAAAGCAAAGGAGTAGAGGAGGTGGTGTTTTAGGAGTCAATAGAGCTATTGAGAGTATTTTGTGATAAAATAGGAGTGTCCGATGAGGAAAAGTGTGAACAAATGAGGATGACTGAGTGAGAAGAATGACATTACTAGTGTGGAAATAGTCAAATCTGCATTTTTATCCAAATTAAAAATAGCTTTATGTAATTCATAGGAACTGTTTGTTATATTAATCCAATACAGAGTAATGTTGGTGAGTCCTAAATAAGATCAGTTAAATCACTATTGGAGTCTTTCTGCTGTCTTCATAAAAATGAACTAAAACTTTATGAATCCTAAATTCATGAGGTCATTTGGCTCGTGGCTATCTTCAGACAAGAACCCTTTGCTGCAGTTCCATAAGAGATGAGTTTTAAAATACAAGCACTTCTGAGGAATGCAGATATATAGCTTCCAAATGAAAATATTCCTGATGAGCCTGATGTCATTTTAGGGACTCTGCTATCCATTCTCTTGCATTGGGTTATTTTCATGCCTTACAAGTTAACTTTTGTTATTAAAAATGCACTCAGTTGACTTCTGCAGCTATTAATTGTGCTGCCAGAAAGAGTATGATCCCTTCCATAGTATATAAAAAAAAAAACCAAACCAAACACCAACAACCAGCTGAGTGCAGAAGACTATTTTTTTAATATGCCCTGAATTGTGGCAGTTCTTGTTGATTAATGGTTGTATTTAAATTTGTTCATGCCAGTATGGCCTTTCTGTTAAAAGGCAAGTATTTGAAATGTTTTGAATTTGAAGCACT